AACTGGTGGATTCTTTTCACTTCTGTAAAATTCAATGAGAGATCTTGGTACTAGGCCTAATGCCAAATCTATCAGTTTTGACTTTGTGAAGTTCTATGGCTTCTTTTATTTGACTTGCTCTGTGTTTTTGAAAGGGGTGTGTATTGCTTAAAAACAACATAATATTCAGGCTTCAGAAACTCCTTTTGAGATGTCTGCTTTCCCTTGATTTTGTTATCTCTTTGTTCTGTGTCTTAAGCTAATATTTATGTTTTTGTAAGCCTCATGGTCCAGCTAGATTTTTGAGGAGCTAGGGTTTGGGATATCTCTAGTATATAATCACTTGGCATGCTGATCTTACCCGATGCTTCTCCATGGCTGCCATTGCCTGAAAATCAAAATGAGATAGGTCTAGGCTGCACCCCCATTTGAACAGCAGAGTCTGGCTTGGGTTCAAGACCTACCTCTCGTGAATCTCACTGTGACACTGGATAGAAAAACTGATTCCCCCCACCTTGTTTCCCTACCTGTGAAATGGGAATAATTTATTTCTTGGGGTGGTGGTTAAGAGAAAAATGCAAGATGGTAAATTGCTTTGTAAACAGGAGTAAGTAATATTCATGCACAGCACCCATTGTACTTGAAATTTGTCACTGCCTTTCCCCCTGCTATCTTCTTCACCTTCACCCCCCCCCACCCCGTGTAGTGTATTGTAATGAATATAACATTGGACTTCTCAAGCCTGAAATTGACTGGCTGACTTCTGTCATGTTACTTGCCTTTTCCCTCCATACCTCAACAGGATTGTTGTGAGGATAAAATGGGATGATGCCTTGTATGCTGCTATGAGGTTGTTTTTGGGTTTTGTTTTGTCTGAGGTTCTTGGGAGAATGCTGCATTCACGTTTCCTCTGTTCCCCATATTGCTTCTTTCCCATTTGTGATTTCCTTTATCCTAACTTACTTCCCACCTCTAAAAAAAACAAAACAAAACAGAGAAGAATGTTATGCCTGTGATTGCTTCTGAAATTGAGGTGACTCCTGGGAGAAGTAGGAGCCATTGTTCCTAAGAAAACCCCTTTTCACTAAAATGAGGTATAGAGGGTTCAAAGAGTTCACACTGCATAGATAGAGCTACTACCTACCTACTCTGCTGTTACTTCAGAGATGTACCTTTCTTCCAGGAGCTGCTGTTTAGGGTTTAATCAGGTCACAGTGAAGAAGGAGGAAACGCTGCTTTCTTTTCTGTTTCTCTGCCATTGTTTGTCATTGTGGAATACACAGGGAACAGCCAAAGAAGGGAAAACACACACTGAGACTTGCACACCAGAGCCTCCCTCTTCCATCTTATATGTGTCCTCTTTTTTAGAAAACTCAAATGTTTCTCCCTAATGGAGAATTTTCAGGGAAGAGCACTATAGATGTGTAGAGTGGAGATACAGAACCTTTGAAAAAGAACAGGACTCAGGGGACTCTGGAAGAATCAGGGACCACTCTTCTTCAAAGGCACAGCACCTCTCCTTGTAAGTAAGATTACAGCCCATAGTTTGGTCAACTGTATCAACCTGCCAAGTAGTAAGGAATATATTTTCACAATTGGGTGACAAAAGGTTGTTCTTATCGGGTTCTCCGTAGGATCTTTAGATAATGCAGTCCCATTTGATTGGAGTAGTTCTGTAAATAATTATGAAACTTCTGTCCAGAGTTGGACTTACACACACGCTGAGCTACATCTTTGGGCCTGTTCGACACTGTATAAGGCAGTGTCAAACCTTTTTCAGCCTGTGAGCACCTTTGAAGTTCTGACACAGTGTGGTGGGCACAGCCACAAAATTGCTGCCACAAATCATTGCTGCAGGAGGCAGGGCCAGTCACAAAATGTCTGCTGCAGCTTACATTCAGTCACACAATCCTTGTCCTGTGGTGGAAGCAGCTAACAAAGCAACACTTTTAAAAAATCTGCACATCCAATCAATAGCCTTGCTGGGCTAAAGCCCCTCTTTAAAAACACTTGGCAGGCACCAAGAAAGGTGTTGGTGGGCACCATGTTAGGTTCACGTTAAGGATGTTTTAGCATGTTTTAATCTGGCTGTGCTCCTGCCCTTCATTCTTTCCATCTCTCTCTTTTCAGTACCTAATGTAAAGACTTCATGTACATGGTGAAATGGGATGATCCTATTGAAAAAGTGATAGTCTTTACAGTGGGGAGTGGTGGCTTAGTGGCAGGGCAGATGCAGAAGTTACCAGAATCTCTGCTTTTACAAGAGGCAGTCATTGACCGTCTCTCCTGTTGCCTGTATGGCTCACGCAAACAAAATGTGCATGAGCAAAATGTTGGTTTAGGCTTTTTCCTCTTCTGGCCAGCACTGATCTTATAGATGCCATTTATACCTGGACAGCTGCATTTTGACAGTCTTGCATAAAAGCTGTATTGAACTGGGCTGTCACCAGTGTTCCCTCTAAGCTGAGTTAGTGTGAGCTAGCTCACAGTTTTTTAGTCTCCGGCTCACACATTTTTGTCTTAGGAGGGATGTCTCCAGAGCAAGCTCATTTATGCAGGAGCCAAATCACTTGCTCACAACTTTAATGCCAGTAGCTCACAAAGTAGAATTTTTGCTCACAAGACTCCACAGCTTAGAGGGAGCATTGGCTGTCACCATGGTGGTTGTTCCTGGATTGTCTTTAAATATAATTAGTTTTCCTGCATTCTGCAGATTGATTTTTCTTGTTGATGACGTCAGATGTATATTTTTAAATGCCAGTTTTGTTCTTGGATTCATTGTAGCAGATGTCTCCCAGATACACAGAACTGAGGTGGGAAGAGAAAGTAGCATACATTCTGCAATTTTAGAGGCCATTCTTACTGAGATGTGAGATTAGACGATTTGTTAAGCATGCGTGCCATGAAGCACTCTTTATGCAGCCCCCTTCATAATACCAAGGAGTTATTTTCTTGATGCTCATTCCTCATGCCGATCCTCTATGCATGAAACAGTATCCCTGCCTCTTCCCAAGCACCCTGTGGATTAACCCAAGTAATCTGTAATATATCTCAGCGTTCAGGAAAAGTATAACTTGCCCATGCTAGGTATACCAGTACAATTAAAGATGTGCCCTTAGTAAACGGTACAGCTGGCTCAAGCAAGCAATACAGTCTCCGCATGTGAAAAGGCAAAGAAAAAGCTATATTAGCTTGCTCCCCTCTGCACACTTTAGATCTGCAGTACTGCAGGAGCTTTCACATTTAAATAAAGTGGATGGAGTTTCACTCCAGATCAAACTTGTGTGGGTGGGTGTGATATGGTAGCTCTTGCACTGCTGCAGGTGCTGCTGCAGGGGAATCCTGTTTTGCAGGGGAAAGTTGCTGTTGGGAGGAGAGAAGGCACAAAGGCATATGGAGGTTATTTTAAAAGCTGTTTTGAAGTTCACTGCCTTGGGGACCCAATAGATGCCCCCTCCAAAAAGCCCTTTTTTTCTAATGCCACCTGAGATGCAGGCTTATGGAAAGCACTGCTCCTGTTCCATGGGTATCAAATAACTTGGGTGGTTCCCATACCAGATGTCTGCAGTTGCACCATCTGTAGGTGGTAATACAGACAGGTGGTATTCTTTTGTGCATGCAGATGTACCCCAAGTTAGGACTGGGGTGTGCAAGGGAAAAAAAACTGGCTTTTTAAAAAATTCAGGTATAATGAAGCCACACTTTTTTTTTGGTATTCCCGAATATGTGTCTTGGTATCTCTCCCTTATAATAATTGAATAGCAACGTTCTATTTCGCAACATTCTAAATTTGCCCCCTTTAGTGTTAGGCCGGAAAAACTGCCACTCAGAAGACACTGGCTGGGTTGACTGGCTGCTTTGTGCAGTCCCGCCCAGCGTTCCAAGGTTATTTGCATATGGAAGCTGATTGGACTACACTCCATTCCACACCTCAAACTCACCACCACCACCCCGCAAGGCAGTTGGGATTTTCAGTTGCATAACATACCTCATAGGGGAGAGGAGAATGATGTCAGCTGCCCTTTCCCTAGGCAGAGGCTGGGGGGGGGGTGTTGTAAAGCTTAAGACAGACAGGCAGATAAAGGTTGGCTGATGGTTGCCAGGAAAGGACATAGGGTTGCCAACTCCAGGTTGGAAACTTCCAGGATATTTTAGGGATGAAGCCTGCTGAGGGTGGGGTCTGAGGAAGAGGGGGACCACAGACAGATACAATGCCATACTGCCCACACTCCAGACAAGCTGTTGCCAGTCTCCAGGTGACAGCTGGAGAGATCTTAAAGCTCTGGTGCTAATTCAAATTGTTGCGATTTATCGACAGAGTAGTGTTCTGGAAAATCTTTAGGAATTGTTTGGTGCATTTACGATGGGGCTCCTGGGGAACTATTGATGCCAATCTTGGCCCAGCAGCCATCAAACCATTCTCTTCAACCCCCTGCTGTGCAGCTGACTTTCCCCTAGGGTTGCCAATCTCCAGGTGGGACCTGGAGATCTCCCACTGTTACAATTGATCTCCAGATGACAGAGATCAGTTCCCCTGGAGAAAATGGATGCTTTGGAGGGTAGACCCTATGACATTATACCTGCTGAGTCCTTCCGCCCCCCCCCCACCCAATGCTGCCCTCTACAGAATCCACCCCCCAAACCTCCAGGTATTTCCCTCCTTAGAGCTGGCAACCCTACATTCCCCTCAGTGCCTGTTGGGAGTGGGTGGTGGGGGAGGGGAAGGGAGCAGGCGACCGGTCCTGGAGTGGGGGGGTGGAAACGAACCCGGCAGCCGGAGGGGGGGAGTGGGAGGGGAAGGGACGCCGCGGCCAGAGGCTTCTGCCTCGCCGGCCCTGGCGTTGGGGGAGAGGGGAAGGGTCGCCACGGCCGGAGGCCTCTGCCTCGCTAGAAACACTCCTGACGGAGAAGATCCAGTCTAACAGCATTCACATTAGTTTTGTCAGAAACATAAAGAACTGGAAATTGAAAATCATCAGCATGTTCA